GCGTTTTGCTGAACAAAATGGTAATCGCCGCATTCATAGGCATGCCAACTTGATGCTCTGCTCACGGATGACTCGATGAGCATAAAAAACTGTTAAGATGATGACCTTGCAGTGTTTCCCCTAGGATGGAGTCATAGCAGCGGTGCTAAGGCACGTGGGCCCAGCATAATGTGAGCGCGGAGCGCATGGAATTTTTTAGTGTGTGCGCGTGCGAAGTGCGCCCCGCCAATTTGTTTCTATGTGTCTGCCAGCACAAGAAAGGCTCTTGAGGCCTAGTAGTGGTGAGCAGTGGTTTGAGTTTTGGAGCAAGCAAGATCCTAATCTGCTGAGATGACTCGGAACTGGATATTGTATTCATGCACACCAAGCTTTGGAAAGGAAAAGTGAATACAACTCAAATTATACATTATAACATCCAAATGGTACATAATGTTACAATGCCTCATATATTACAGGAACATTAATAGGATCAACTGAAAGTTAAGCATGGGTCCGAGCAGCCCTAAGGCCCCGCTCACACGGGACCGTTTGCGTTTATGCACAGTATGCGTATTCAAAAAAGTCTTCCGTTCACATGCATTTGTTTCATTTAACGTGTCTGTTCAAACGAGGCCGCTGGAAACGCTGTAGTACATATGCTGGGACTGTAAGTGGCGCTGTAACTTCCGCCAAAATACACCAAAAGCCGCGAAGAAGAGCAACCCGAGCAGCCCCGCTGCAATGTTGCCATGGCTACCCTTCTGTTTAAGCCCCGAAACTGAAACTGAAACTGAAATAAACCGAATCTGTGGATATTGCATCCCGCCAAGAAGCACGTCTCCATGGAGAGGACGGCTCAGAAAGAGAGATATTCTCTACAAACACCGGGTGAGATCCTCCTCTGTCAATATAATGGATCAATGCATGAAATCTGACTCTGTTTATTTTGTTTAAGGAGTATATTGGGCGTTAACAATTCTGGTTTGCCTTTTATAATATTATTTCATTCAAGAACCCCTTGTGCGTTTAATTAACACAGCTATTTTTGATAGTTGCTACAGCAGTAAGCAGGAGAGGTGGGGAGAGGCGGGGCTATCGCTATTTTTCGGCCTAAGGCGCCGTTTACACGAGGAGAAAACTGCTTGTATCTGCATAGTTTCGCGTTCGTATAGCCCTATTATTTACACGAGGCCGATAGAAACTGACCCCACAAACAATAACGGGTCCCAAGGTGGATAGATTTGCAAACGAAACGCTCTGGGGGGTCAACCGAGTCCGTGTAATCACCTCTATACGAATATTTCCTGGAAAAATAGCGATAGCCCCGCCTCTCCCCACCTCTCCTGCTTACTGCTGTAGCAACTATCAAAAATAGCTGTGTTAATTAAACGCACAAGGGGTTCTTGAATGAAATAATATTATAAAAGGCAAACCAGAATTGTTAACGCCCAATATACTCCTTAAACAAAATAAACAGAGTCAGATTTCATGCATTGATCCATTATATTGACAAAGGAGGATCTCACCCGGTGTTTGTAGAGAATATCTCTCTTTCTGAGCCGTCCTCTCCACGGAGACGTGCTTCTTGGCGGGATGCAATATCCACAGATTCGGTTTATTTCAGTTTCAGTTTCGGGGCTTAAACAGAAGGGTAGCCATGGCAACATTGCAGCGGGGCTGCTCGGGTTGCTCTTCTTCGCGGCTTTTGGTGTATTTTGGCGGAAGTTACAGCGCCACTTACAGTCCCAGCATATGTACTACAGCGTTTCCAGCGGCCTCGTTTGAACAGACACGTTAAATGAAACAAATGCATGTGAACGGAAGACTTTTTTGAATACGCATACTGTGCATAAACGCAAACGGTCCCGTGTGAGCGGGGCCTTATGCCGCGTTTCCACTACACAGCCTCGCTCGGCCCCGCTCGGCCTCCTTTGGCCGCGCCCGGCCTCGTTAGGACCAGCTCACTTTGTGGCGCGTTTCCATTACAGTTTAGGAACCGGGTCAGTATCTATAGTAACGCAGTGTAGGCGGAGCGACGCTGCTTAAAACTGCCGTGACGTCATCTTCAATGCGACAAAGCGACACAACACACAACAATGGAGGATGTTGAGAAGATCGTTGGCTTGTTGCTTGCTGTGTGGTTCTTTATCACAACAAATAGTCAAGAGATGACTCGAAAGAGGCGACTTGTAGCAAGACGAGGTATAGAGGCAGCTGACGCGAGAGTTCTGGCAGCCCGCAGAGACTACTGGAAGACTCTAACTACTACTACTACTACTACTACTGCTACCAATACTTCTTCGAGACTACAATGCTACTTGGTAAGCTAACGTTCGCTAACTAGCAATGTGTTTAGGCTCACGCTCCCCATACGACCAAAGAATTTCAAGTATTTAATTAATTGTAGCTACCACTTTTACGTATTAAAATATGTATGCTTTTGTTTGTGTATTTCAGAAGTTACTTCGCCGCCCTAGACCATGCGTTTGGATGGTCGACCGAGCTACCGAGTGGTGGAATGTGATTGTTCCATCTTTCACACACACTCAGTGGGTGGAGAACTTCAGGATGTCTGAAGAAACCTACGTCTACCTGTGCAACAAACTGCGGCCAGCGATGGAGAAACAGGACACATCATTCCGCGTGTGTATACCTTTTAAGAAGAGAGTGGCCATCGCACTGTGGAAGCTTGCTACCGGCTGTGACTACAGAAGCATAGGACATCTTTTCGGAGTGAGCAAGACAACTGTGTGCCGGTGTGTGCAAGACTTCTGTGCTGCTGCAGAGACGTTGTTAGTACCGGAACTAATTCGTTCACCAGACCGGGAGAAATTTGCAGAAATGGCTGCCTACACTGAGAACAGGTGGGGGCTCCCTCAGTGTGTAGGTGCTATTGATGGGTCACACATACCCATCTTGGCACCACAGGAATACCACTGTGACTATTTCAACCGTAAAGGCTGGCACTCCATCATCCTTCAAGGAGTTGTTTTGATGGTAAGGGACATTTCTGGAATGTGTTTGCAGGAATGCCTGGGAGCATGCATGACGCTCGGGTTTTGAGACTGTCCACATTGTGGGAGTTGGCCAGTCGTGGCAACTACTTTCCAGCTTGCACCAGGAACATTGGTGGGGTGAATGCTGGCTATTACATCCTGGGAGACAATGCCTATCCCTTGCAAAACTGGCTCATAAAACCCTTCGCTGACACTGGACGGCTAACAGAAGAACATGTGACATACAACAAGAAGATTTGCAGAGTACGGGTAGTGGTTGAAAACGCTTTTGGTAGACTGAAGGGAAGGTGGCGTTGCCTCATGAAAAGAAATGACTGTGATGTGAAACTTGTTAAATCAATGGTGCTGACATGCTGTGCTCTGCATAACCTCTGCGAGAGTCATGGAGAGACCTATGATGATGGGTGGGATGCACCAGCAGCAGCAGAGCCAGGGGTAGCAGTGGCACAAGGTGCAGAGGAGGAGGGCAGGGACATACGAGAGGGTCTGATGCGCTACCTGAATCCATAAAGTCATTGTATGGTATTGAACATAAATAAAAAAAGAATGTTTCACATACATGTGTTTGTCAAATTATTTAAACCCAAGAAATGTTATCAGAATTGACTATTTAGTAAATATTTGAATTTCAAGCACCAGTATTTACTGCCCCATAAAAATAATAATAATCTAAGCAAACTATAAACATAAATACAACAGTGTAAAACACAGAACTATATTCAGCTTCAAGGTTTTGTATTTTGTCATACGAACATAGCTACAGTGTAGTTATAGTTTATTTTGTTCTCTTTTAAATATATAAGCAATGTATGAGTCTAGCACAACGAGGGTATTACAATTGAGTAATTTTTACTACATGTATTCATAATACCATTACAAAATATGTAATGTGGATGAAGCTACTTTGCATTTTTATGCGGATGACACCGTGATGTACTGTGCAGGTCCCTCCATTAAGGAGGCTGTTGTTAAATTACAGGCTGTTTTTAACATTATTCAGACTCAGCTCTCTGAACTAAAGCTTCTTTTAAATGTTGAGAAAACCAAGGTAATGCTCTTTTCTAAAGCTAAAAAGACTCCAGAGACTGCTTTGGATATTGTGACTATGCAAGGACAAGTACTCCAAGTGGTTAGCTATTATAAATACCTTGGTATCTGGCTTGATGATTGTCTTACTTTTAAACTTCACGTCACTAATCTGCTTAAAAAGCTGAGGGTTAGACTAGGTTTCTTTTTCAGAAACAAGTCCTGTTTCTCTTTTGAAGCCAGGAAAAGGCTCTGTGACCTTTTTACCTGTGCTAGACTATGGTGATCTGATCTATATGAATGCACCTGCCCATTGCCTGGAAAGGTTAGATGCCGCCTGTCACAGCGCTCTGAGATGTGTTACTAACTGTAAAGCACTTACTCATCACTGTACCCTGTATGCCAAGGCAGGTCTGCCTTCACTTACTGTTCGGAGGCTCAGTCATTGGTACATGTTCATCTACAAAGCCATGCTGGGTAAACTACCTTCTTATATCTGCTCCTTGATCTCACAGAGTGGCAAGTAGCTATTGCCTGAGATCACAGGATGTGTTTTTATTACATGTGCCAAGTGCTAGGACTGTTTTAGGTACTAAAGCTTTTATGTGCGCTGCTCCTCTGGCTTGGAACACCATGCAAAAAACATTGAAACTGAGCATTTTGATTCCCTTGCATCGTTTTAAAGCACGGCTGGATGAAATGTTATTGGATACCTGCAAATGTAAATAGATGCTAATGTATACCCCTGTAATTATGTTGTGATGTCCTCTTGTTTTCTGTTTGTTTTTATATGTGTAACTCAATGTACCGCAGGTCTCCCTTGTAAAAGAGATCGTTGATCTCAATGGGATTTTTTTAACCTGGATAAATAAAGGCTACAAACAAACAAACATGATATTTCTGACTGACGAGGGACGCCTAGATGATGCCATCTTTCTGTGTGATCGCTGTTGGGTGCAATTATTTATCAACAAGCAATAAGATAAGTCACTTTATTGAACACAAAGTGTTTTCTTGCAGCAGCATAAAAAAGGCATGGCATTATACAAAAAAAAAAATGATTGTATTGTATTACAGATAAAAAATATACAAGAAACTACAGCCATAGGTTATTGGTTCACAGAGGCGGAGGAGACTGAGCGGACGTTCCCCCTAGCACCTGGCAAATAGTGCGCATGAAGGATGCATTAAAGCTCTCTACGCGAGCCATCTCCTCCCTTCTCAAGGTGGCTTCCAACAGCCTCGCCTCCCTCGCCTCCACCAGGGACTGGTTCATGTACTGAGCCTGCAGGGCCCGGTCTTCCCTCAGCTCGGCATGGATCTTCTCCTGCTGGGCATGGCTCTTCTCCTGCTGGGCCAGGTTCTTCTCCTGCTGGGCCAGGTTCTGCTCCTGGTGTTCCTTCTGCTGGGCCAGTTGCAGTTCCAGTTCCTCTCGTCTCCTCTTGCCTGGGTGACAAGATAATAATATAAATAATTAGCAATAACAATGAAGAAACACAGGTACAGGTCACACAAGGATATAAGAATAAAATGTATAAACAGAACAGTAAGGATGAATTAAAGAAAGTTCTGGCCCTATATACTAGCTGCTTACTAGCTAGTTACTTTACTTGTAACTAAGCATTCGCACACAGTGGTACAGCTTATTTTACTACTGACGATGGATGGTCTACATTTTATTTTAAAAGTCACAATTCCAGCCTATTTCTTACCTAGAACCACACGCGGTGTCGAGCTGGCACTCGGCGTTGGTGTCTGTGCTCGAGCTGGAGTTTGTGCTGTAGATATGGATGATATCGATGCACCGGACGGTGTTGGTTCATCCTCGTTATTCAAAACGTAATCATCTAGAACAGAAACATGACTTGTTAATTCCACAAACTACTGCAGCACAATACTATAAATAGCAACAACAACTATAGAAAAGACAAACTGAACGTAAACAATGGCACATGTGGTGTTAGCAAACACTAGCTCTAGCTAATGCTATCTGCCTTAGCTAGCCTTCGGGGCTCCATAAAACCATGGGTTGTCGAACATAAATGTAAGGATAAAATAGACTTATTTGTTAGAAGTGAGCTTTAGAACAGATAGGGACACAAAGGTTCCAAGAAAATAACAGAGCGTTAGCAAAAACTTACCATTCATAGACTCCAGTAACGCTGTTGCTGAGTCGAGGCCTCCCTCCCTCCCAACGCTAGCCGGTCTATGGCCGTAAATGCTGTTCATGAGGTCGAACCACTTCCAGTTTTTCCTAGCGGCCCCACTGGTGTTGTTGTTGTCCTTCACCAAGCGATATTCACCCTTAAGCTTTTTAAGTTTTTCCCTACACTGCACGACAGTCCAGGAGTACCCGCTTGTGGCCATTAGTGTAGACACCTCCTGAAATACTTTAATATTTCGAGTCATCCCGTCGAGCTCCCGCTGGATCTTTTCATCAGATATGTAATGGAGGAACGTCGTGACTTCCTCGACCGACCATGGTGTGCTTTTCTTTGCCATTGTTAATCCTCTGTTGACAAAAATGCTGCAAGCATCGCTATATATATATGCGACGCTAGGGATTATCTCGCGCACGATTGTGACGATTCTCTCCGACCAATCAGCAGCCGAGAGCGTTGACGTCACAAACTCAGCCCGGTTGCCTCTGGCCCTGGCCCCACGATTTTATGAGGCCAGAAAAACTGTGAATTAGGACCAGCCTGCCGGTACTAGGCCAAGTGGAAACGCAACCACAAACGGGCCGCTGACGTCACAGCCCTCTTAAACCGGGCTGCGGGCTGTAGTGGAAACGCGGCGTGTGCTAAAGCTTTGCATCCACTGAGGATGTACTTTTCCAGCCACTGTATTATTATGAGAGTCTCAGGCCAACTGTCAGCACTGTTCAGTGCAACCATACTAACAAATGAGTTCATTAATCATTCGTTTTTATTATCTTGCATAGGCAGATCCTAAAAATAATCATTCGGCCTCCAGTATGTCAACTGATTGTTTTTTAAAGGAACCATTTATTTACAGACGGTTGATAAAAAAATATATTAAAAACCTGCATTTGCATGATTATTTAATGAATTAGTGAATAGTTGGATAAGCCATTTTGTATGAAACTTTTGTTTTATGTGAGAATCAGCATTGCTTCATGTTATGAATTCAAGGAGATACAGATGTCATGTATCTGTAATAAATAAGAGTTTATGAAGACAACTAAACTGTATTTCTGTGTATCCAGGTTGACTACTGGCATGCGTTTCGCTCCATTTTCCTGCCTGGAGAGGGGCTCCTGGATTCAGGGGAGCCAGGACAGGGACCTCTCCCTGATGCTACACGAGAGTCTGCAGCCAGCCGTGTGCCTCCATAAATATCAGACTTAAAAGAGCCTTTTGATGGTTAGTCGGAGAGGAGCAGAGTATCCACCCAATGCAAACATTACTGAGCTGTTGACTGCATCGGATTGGTGGTATTCTGAGCCGACTGAACGTGCACTGAACAAAATCATAATTTGAGCACTTTTTTTATATTACAGGTGCTGAAATGTTATAAAACATGCAGGTTCAAATGAATTAAGTGGGGAACAGAGGTGTAACTTTAACAGTTAGTTGAGGATCTAGTTACTATATTGAAGATTTTGGAATTAGTGTGTATTAAGCATTTTATTAAAGAAAAAGTATTATTATCAAAATATACTTAATGTGCAAAAAGTAAATACAGTAATGCAGAATTGCCGTTTTTGAATACAGCATGTTGAATTATTGGATATAAATGTTGGCAATCAATTAAGTTTTATCTTAACCTATAATAATAATTTGACAATTTGCTTTTGAACTTGAGAGAAACAGAAGTATAACATAAGGGACATTTCAAGTATAGTACGAATACCTGAATATTTTATATATATATATTTAGACTTACTTAAAGGGGACCTATCATGCAAAATGCACTTTTGTACGTCTTTTATACATGAATATGTGTCCCCGGTGTTCCAGGGAACTCACCAAGTGTCAGAAAACACAACCCTCTCTATTTTCCTCCATACCCAAATCTCTAAAAAAGGGGCTGCAACGGATCTGATAAAAACTGATCCAGATTTGAACACTGTCCTGACGTCAGGACGGTGGCGCTACGGCTATTGGGCCAACTCCACCAATCAGGAGGAGACAGCCACGGCCATTGCCGTTCGAAAGCGCTGGAGACGCTGTAGTACATATGCCAGGCCAGTAGATGGTGCTGTTCTCACTGAATCTGCCCAGAGCTAGAAATTGTCAAATTGAGCAAAATGAGGCATGGCTAAAATGCATGATCTGTTTGGTATTTTGAAGAAAAAAATAAGTATAAATATTAGGGCTGTCAAGTTAACGCGTTAATAACGCGTTAACGCAAAAAAAAATAAACGCCACTAATTATTTTAACGCGATTAACGCATGTATATTTTTTGTCCTCGGGCGCCCCGTAGTTTCAGAGCGCATCGAGTTTAAAATACCATCTACAAGCTGATGCTGACAGCCCCGCTCCTGCCGCCCGCTTGTGGCAGACCACACTTCCACGCTCCCCGGCAGGCCCGGATTGGCCATCGGGAGGACCGGCAGGGTGTGTGTATGTGTGGTGCGAGCGAGGCACACCTTACGTGTTGTTGTTGTTGTTAGCATCTGGTGCTAGCTAGCTGCGCTAACGGATATAAGGAGCTGTTTCAATGAAAACAGAGGAGCGACATTTTGCCGACAACTGCGCCGAGCACTTGACTTTATGCAGGTAGCCAGACAGTGGGACATTGTACGAAAAGTCAGCACACTCTATAGATAGTGCGCGCAACATGATTGCAGCGTCCAGGCAGCTCCCGTTCGAGCATATATGCCTTGAGCTGCACATAGCTCCAACGATCCATCACAGTGTCTCCACATTCACACACACACACACACACACACACACACACACACACACACACACACACACACGTCTTCTCACAATCTGCTGAAGCTCGCAAAGCTACATGTCTTGCAATCAATGACCCAAATTAGTTTAATCTTGTGTGTGTATGACTTTTGCAAAACTATTCCAAGCACCAAAATATGTTTTCGTGTGCCTTGTTTACTCTTTTTCGGAGTCATGCATATTTGATATATTTTGTTGTTAGTTGCTTATACAGCTTTTACTGCAGCAATTCCATCATTTTTTTTCTAACTGTATATTCTCAAGTAAAGTTCACGCCTTCACTTTGAGATAGTATGTTACAAACAATGCCTGTATTCCACACTCAACCAAAAAAAAGCAAAGTGGTAAAACCAACCAGACTATAAAAAACACTTGTTTTCTGAGCCTATTGTATGCAAGAACAAGTGTAACATGTAAATGATTGGCTATGTTACTCTAAAATAGTGAAATACTGTTCTAGTGTTAAAGACTATTTGCTGACTAGAGACAGTATCTTTGCATTTTGGAATTTAGAGTTGGTATTTCATGAACAAACAGTTGTTTTAAACAGTAAACTATTTGGCTAATAGTGTGATACAGGTGTGTTGCTGTGTTAAGAGTTTGGAAAAAAGTGTCTTAAAGCTCAACGCCATATTATGTTCCAAACCACATCAAGGATTATTTCTGAAATAGTATGGAGCTCAAACGCTTTCTCTTTTGCGGGTTTACCACAAGGTGAGTACCTTTTTATATGCTGCTTTTTTACACATATTCTCTCCAGTACAGCGTTAGCGTTAAGTTGGGTGATCTCTATTGATATAAGAAGATATTCTACAGTCATATCAATTTAGTTTTGGCTAACAACAGGTTCCATTTTAGCTGCACAGTGTCATGTTTTAAAATCCATGTAATTTTGTTCCAGGGAGGCGTGTTGTGCAGTGGGTTGAGCATTGGTGTTCGGATCAGGGGGTCACAGGTTCAAACCCCACTGCAGTCAGCATGTCATTGTGTCCCTGGGCAAGACACTTCACCCCAAATTGCTCCTGTGGGGATTGCCCACAGTATTGAGTATGTAAGTCGCTTTGGATAAAAGCATCTAACAGGTGACATGTAATGTAATGTTCCAGATGGAACAGGTTTAAGCCCAACCCTCCGGCAAAGCTAAAGGCAGTCCAACTGCTCCACTGAGCTCGATACCTTTGGCTGACTTAGTCCATCTGTGATGTAGATGTGAATGGTTCAGGCCCTACATCCAGGACATGGATAAACCATACACTCCAGCATGTGCACTTCACACTACATATTAGCTCACTACTCCCTCACTGTGAGTGGGACCCAGGTACTTCTCAACAAAAACAGGCTTGTTTAATATCCTGTCTCCAAAATTGTGTAACAAGCTCCCCATTGATATCAGGACAGCAGAAAGCCTACACATATTTTGTCGCAGATTGAAAACCGTCTGTTCGACTGCACCTTGGCCAATAATAATAATCAAAATTAAAAAAGGAAATTGAACCTAAACAATTAATTCAGAAACTGCATACCATTTAAATGCATCATTCAATTGTTTAATAAGAAAACAGTCTTTTAATCTTTTTTTAAGAACATAATATCAAACAAAAACAAAGGTTGTATTGTCAATGTAAGAACTGCACATTGTAAAGCTATGCTATTGGTTATTGAGTCTTTCAGCTCTCTGATGGCGGGGGGGCAGCTCGGCGCACAGCCTTGGTCAGGGCTTGTTGGATGACAGGGTACAGTTTATAGCATCCCTCGATGCAGGTCCGGACCCCAGCTGTCAGAGTCTCTTCAGTCATTTCTCCATCTGACTGCAGCCCAGAAATCTGGTTCAGGCTAGGGAGGAAAGCTACAGTCAGACCACCCTGGTTCTCACTGCTGACTGAGTTGCAGCTGTTTTCCTCCATGTAAGAAGGATCGACAACATAAGAGGCGCCATTCTGACGTATGGAACAACCAAGCACCAGATCATACATTTCGATTCCTGCATCTGCAAGAGCGAGGGAAGCGCACGTGACAGCATGGGCCAGAACTGAGCCGCTGTTCTCAACAACCATCACATTAACCTCAATCTGAGAGCGGGGATATTTATGGAGGCACACGGCTGGCTGCAGACTCTCATGTAGCATCAGGGAGAGGTCCTTGTCCTGGCTTCCCTGAATCCAGGAGCCCCTCTCCAGGCAGGAAAATGGAGCGAAACGCATGTCAGTAGTCAACCTGGAAACACAGAAATAGTTTAGCTGTTTTCATAAAGTCTTTCTATATTATTTATTACAGATACATGACATTGGTGTCTCCTCGAATGCATGTTGAAGAGATACTGATACTGACATAAAAGTATGAAGCAAAATGGCTTAAAAAAAACCGATATTGGCTACCCAATCTACTCTCTGTTATTCATTTTGGTATTAAAGCTAAAAAATAAACATTCGTACTAATATTTATGTTTACGTCACGTCGGCCTGTCTTTTCACATCTTTATTCAATGTTTGAAATAAGTCTTCTCACTTTAGGTACTTTTAACTTCTGTTGAACACTTAAATTGTCTATCTTAAGTTTATTTTTGAGCTGCTTTTTACTGCTTATTTATTCAGGCCGGATGTGTAAGTCACAAGATATCGCTTTAACATAAGCGTTTAACTTGCGGTAGAGCAATACCCGAGTCAAATAAAAGTATTAATTGATTA